CACAGGACAGTTGTGGCATGATGTGAGAGTTAAGGATCAGGTCACTATATTTCACACCCACTACTTGCTCCAGGCAGATATCTTCCCTTCAACCCTCTCCTGTGCTTGGAGACACGGGCCCTCATTTCTTCTCACAGGTCTTTCTTTGTGACAGTTTTTCCTTTTGTCATCATCTCTGAAATACAACCAGCAGGCCTCTGTTGAACACAAATCAAACACTCTGTGTCTGGATTGGTATGAGAAGAGATACTGGAGCTTCGTTCTTGGCAGTTTTAAGCAAACTGCAACAGCTCTTCTGTGGTGTAAATGTCCGAAAAGGGAGTGTAAGAACATCTGTGAATGAACACACAAGACTTCGCTTGAAATTGGTGAGAGTGCATGTCATATATTGCTTGCTTCAAGGTTTTGTAAGGTGCTAACCGGGCTGAGAACTTGCACGGTTAAGCTGAACACCGTGCTGTTACCAGATAGCTGCACAACACAAGAGATCCCATTTCTGACCTCTCAATTTCCGCTTCATGCACAGGTGGAACAAACAGGCAAAAAACCATTCAGATGGGGAGGTCTCTCTCGAAATATATTTTCTAATTAATTCAATGCTAAGACCTAAGGCACCCAACACCTTTTAATGCTTATATAGCCTTCTGTGAATGAAGATACCAATGCCCAGAAGCTGTTTCTCAAGTTTCAAAAACAATTACTCTAAAAACAAGGCCTTTATTGTGCTTGGCTGAAGCTGAATAAGCTTGAAATTCGGATATTTTTTTGAAAAGAATGGTCTGCTAATTGGTGTTGAGGTTTAAATATTTGAGCTTGTTTATTTCTCCCACTTCCTTAAACGATGATTCAGAAACATTACCCTGTTACTACAGTCTATTAAATCAGACTTATCAAAAAGGAAACATTTATTGATGTCTTGAGAGCTGTGTGTGTCTAATTAAGTTTGTGTTGCTGTGCATATTTTATATTAAGGTAAATGTTTCCTGCAGCTTGACTTTCATCAGGTCTGAAGGGCCTTAATAAGTGTTTGGCTCCATCACTTATTTTTTCTCTTTTCCCTGGACTAAGGGAGGATGTACTGAATCAGTTTGCAAAGTCACATCCTTTACCATCTCTTGAAGAAGTTCTGCCACACACTGTAATATTTATTCAAGACATTTGTCCCTGGAAGTTTTGGCAGCTAGTACTAAATGCACATTTTTGATGGAGCTTCCAAGTGCAGGTAAACCCAGAAGAAGTCTGCAGTATTTGTAGATTGTAATTTTGAAGTGTGTTTAGAGAGCTACTTTGCTTATTTCTTAGCTATTTCAGCCAATTTTACTTCGAAGTCTGATTAGTAGAAGAAAAGAAAAAGAGATTTATAGGTTACTGAATTCCTGGTTTGAGATTTCAAACTTAAAGCTTGCTTTTTTTGTTTTTATTGTTGTACATGGTCCCTCTTTGTGCAGTTATTGTCCTTTGCTCTTTTCTTTACTACCTTTCCTGTTTCATGTACAGCTACCACTATTAGAAGGAAATTCAGTCTCAACTATGTAGCCATTAAAGCACCTGTCCTGTGCTTGGGTTCTACTTTTCTTCTGCTGTCCCTCATCTCTGTGGTTAACTTCATCCTTCATAAATATTTTTTTTCATACTGTAATTTAAATGATACTGTATGTAACCTGATCTTAAGAGATCATTTAAAAGATTAACAGAAAGAGACTAGCCACTACTGTTTTCTCTGTGAAACACTCAGTTTTGAATGAAATGTCATATATACCTATGTGTAAATGTTTCCAGGTTTTTAGAAGAGTCATTTGTGATACAAGAATAAGTTTATCTAATTAAGTATAACGTTTCTGTCAAATAGCTGTGTAATAGATTGTTATCTTAATTTTGGTGGCAGAGAGATACAGTAATGCAGAACTCTTTTGCATGGTATATTTCAATATATATATACACACATGCAAAATAGTGTGTGTGTGTATATATGTATATATACACACAAACACTACTATATATCAGTATATTTACAGATGCACACTTATAGAAATATATGTATATATACACGTGTGTGGGGAGACAAAGATTTCCTTTTATCAGGCTTTTCTAAATTTTGACAATCTTTTTTGCTACTCTAATTAATATACTATGTAATAACTTTAAATTAAATCTATGATCTTTCTGTAGTAGATGGTTTACACATAACAGAAAGAGACAATTTTTACCAGTGATACCATAATCCAAACAGACAGTGCAGATAAGAAGAGGAAGAAAGGAAAATCAGTTATTCCCCAATAATGGGGCACTTAACGATAGAACAATCCCATGCTCTGCTTGAACTCACACAGGGATTATGTCTGCACTCAGAAATAAAGCAGTGCCAGGGAGCAAATCCCAGTGTCAGTGCTGTTCAAGAATCAGAAGTGGCCCCGGGCAGTTTCCCCCAAAGTCCAGCTAGCACTTTCCCAAAACTTCCCGGGCACCGTTCGATAGGTGACCGTGCTGTGTTGGATGAAATCTTAACAGTACAAACACGGCCAGCCCAGGGTGTCCAGTGCTAAAGTCACCGTTAGCTTCTGGTCCTGTTTGTTTAACTTTTTAGAAAAGATGCAGCCAGAAAACCTTTATCAAAAGTTGACATTAAATCCAGATTCCTATTGTCTCATTCCAGTGCCTTTCTAGATCATTACCCTCATTTATGACGTTATTCTTAAAAATCACCCTGGTAAAATGACCAAGGCAGTGTGTAAAGAACAAAACAAATCCTTTTGTTTTCCTCAGACAAACATCACAAAATGTTAATTGATTTGTTTCCAGCTTTGATGATTTTTTTTTTTTTTCTTGTGAAAACAAAGATGACAAACAAAAGAAAACAAAAGATAACTGATTCGGAAGTAAACTTTTAGAATGCTCCAAAATGAGACCATGTAATTCTTACTCAATTTATGAGCGTTGATATTTGGTGGAATTACACTTGTCTGAAAAGATCCAGTTCACACAGTTTAGGAACACTAAATGATATTTAGGAAGGAATGATGCTTGAGGTTTCTGTAAGCTTCCATGATTGATTTAATTCTTGATACTCAACAGTTCTTAAAACAAAAATTCTCACACTTTGCCAATGAAAAGCCTTGACAAACAAATTAACAATGGTTATTGCTTAAAAAATGGCAGTAGTGGAATTGTGCCAAATTATTCTGTTCTGATATAGGGCATATGTATTCTTGAAATAACAGTACAGGTATTAGTTTATTCTGCATTCTTCTTCAAATAAGTCTGCAGGTTTTGCCTATATCTTCTTTTGCCTTTCAAATAGTCACTTTGTACTTACAAAATGTGCAGATTCTGCCAGCAAAAGTAACAGGTAAGAAAAGAGTTATCAAACAGAAGCCTGTTCTTCTGCCCTTCCCCCTCTACATGAAGAAATTAAAACAGGAGAATGAAGGGCAAGAAAAATACTGTGTTTGGAGAGGAAAGCTCTCCCAAATACACTTTCCTTCTTCCTAAGCCAGCACTATTGATATTGGAAGCTGCTTGCCTGGAAGAACCACCACTAACCCCTCAATGATTTGTGAAGAAATCTGGAGTTGATTTGTCTAAGAGGGAGGAATGATGTTCTGTTTAGCTCCACTGGCATCTTTCAGCCTTCCTCTTACACCACTCAACCCTTAGAGGAGTTCTGTACCTAAGGTAATACATCTTCGTGTCTAGAGGCGGGCTCATGTGCCTTCATCAATTAATTCATGAAGGTTAGGTGTCTGAAGGATATTTCTGGAAACTAGATTTGTAGGGAGTCCTAATAGAACTATGGTCATGAATCTGAACTATGAATCTGAACATTACTTACATATGAGGAAAAAAAAGCATGCATCTTCCATAATAACTTGAGAAAATTTGTAGACTTGTAGACCTGCAATGTCGATATTCTCAGAGATGATAAACACATTCGCCTGTCTATACTTTTTTTTTTTTTTTTTTTTTACTGTTAGGGGAGAAAGTCTTTTGAGAAATTTGTCTTAGGGCGTCTTATGCTAGACCTCTAAGCACTTTGGTGATTGTGGCTTCAGCACTTTGTAGGCTTTCTGTCTGCTAGGAGCTCTGGGTCTATCTATCAGCAGAAGTTGAGGCGTCTGTGAGTACAGGAGACAGACAATTTTCATGTTATACACCTAAATCAATTGCATAGGCACCAAAGAAGAATACTGTAAGCATGTACCTCAAACTCACAAAAAAAAAAAAAAAGAGAATTATCTTTCATAGTCCCTTTCAGTTCAGTGCCATTCCTGGAGTTACACTTTCCATCTGTGAGATGAATGTTAAACTAGAATGGGAACAACTCGACTTCTTGTAGCTTGGGCAGAGTGGCAGATTCCCTTTAGAATGCTGTGATTCAGCTGCAGGAAATTTCATTTGGGAAGGAAAAAAACCTCGTAAATTTATGGAGGAATCCATTTGGGAAAATCCCAGCCTAAAGATTAAGTGGACTCAAGAAAGTACTTCCTTGAAAACACATGGCTGCACCCCACTGCCTTCAGATAAAATGTGACAAACGCATCAGAATCAGCCTTAGGAAAAGAAAGATTGCTCATTTTTAGTGTTCACTGCAAAAGAGGAGTGTTGAGAGAACTTACCTGCAATGTCCGGTGGTGTGTGTTTTTCTGGGACTTTTTTAATCCTTACATATCTTGTGATTTCTGAATTTGAGCAAAATTCAGACAACGGAAAATAGTGAAAAATGTGAAGCAAGTTCTTCACCTAGCAAACAACTAGAGGGCAGTTTCTACTGTTGGAAATCTTAACCCGTTTGGTAATCCTGACAGCACTGTGATTTGGGGTGTTATGATCAGTTTCATGACCTTTTTGATTTTTTCTTCCCCTCTAGGAATTAGGATTTTGCCCTGGGGCCTACAGTCTGAACCCAGCGTAGGACTCTGATTCAGAAGAGTGAAGAATATGCTTCTACCATTAGTTACTTTTGAAGCAAAACTTCACAAGGCAGAAGATCCCTAGGTAAGTTTGTGGACTTGCCTTTAAGAATCCGCTGAAAGTATGACTGTTTTATTTGTGCCATTGCATTTTCATCTTCTGGAAGCAGAGTGTGTTCTTACAGGTTAGAATCTGTGGATGCAAATGGATTTCAGAGGAAGATAATAAGCACTCATCTTAGGTAAACAGTGTATGTCCTATATTTTATTTAAAGAATGTGAGCTAGTGAATACCCGGGCCAGAAGTCCTGCTGGTCTAGACAGGACTTTCAGGCTCCTCGCACGGGTCCCTGTCTACATAAACTTCTGAGACTGGAGGACGCTTGTCCTTAACACCGGTGCACTGGACTGAGATGCAGCTGATGGGCTCACGTGTACGGTGTCTAGATCAGGCTTGTTATCTTTGTAAATTCTTGTAGTATTTTCTTGTGCCATTTCCTTTTGGGCAAAGTACAGATAATTGCTTTTCTCATCATTAATATGGCACTCCTGTGGGCTACCACCTCTTTGGTTTGAGGGATATTTTTTTTATTTTTCAATAGGGTGGCGGGTACTTTTCTGATGTTATAAATAAAGGCCTTTTATAGGACTCTGACATACCTGCTCCCCGACTTAGGCCTATAGTTCATCCACCTTTCTTACCCCAAAAAACTACTTTCAGTGACCTTGGCTTGTGTGCTGCTTTCTTCATCCTCTCTTGGGGAGTGTTAAAAGCTTAAAGGGAGCCACAAAATCCCCTACTCAAACCAAGGGTGCTCTCAAATTTGACTTTTCCTCTGTATAAAAGCTTTCTGCTGTGTCTGCCTCTACCACTGCATCACTCTTCAGTGTTTTCTCCAGCTTTTCTGTTCCTTCCTTCTTCAATGCTTATTTAAGTATCTTATCTCCCTGCTGCTCTTCCAGCATTTACCAGCTGGATGCATTTTATTCATTCACCTATAAATCCATTGTGTCCTGTACACGTATGTATAGAAGGAAGTCCTCCTTCCCCATCCTGCAAATCCACCCACAGAAAAAAGAGGCAAGTCATTATACAGATGTGCAAATACGTTTCACTAAGATTCCACAGAAGTGCTTCAGTTTGCCCAGGCCAGACAAATCCAGGTAAATTTGAAATCTCCCCAGTTAGGTGACAAAACTGAGATTTTTTTCTGTTCGCTTTTAAGTTTAAGGGGCTTAAGTATGTCAGCAATATCTGAAATAGTATTTGTGGACACAACTGGCAATGTAGACTTGCAGGGGAAAAAAAAAAAAAGGGGGGGGCAAGAGGGATAAGACGCAGGTTAAAGAATGAAAGGCTAAACAAAGTGATGCAATTTCAGTTGTCAAATACTAATTTTTTGTTAGGTTGCATACAGCTTCAGTGTCTTAGGATCTCCTAAGCAAAATTTGTTTCACTTAACCCTTGTGTATCACAGGCAAAGTAATTGAAAATTGCAAAGTCAGTCTTTGAAGATCATAAACAATAACTTCAGAATAAATGAAATGTAGATGGCTTTATTGGATTTAATTACATATGAAATTGAATACCTTGAAAACAAAGTACAATAAAAACACGAACATATTTATTAGGGCAATGTTTTACGAAATTCAGATAGGTGTATTATAAATATGAAAAACAGAGCCTAGACAGTGAAATCCTGTTGCACTCAAAGAGCTGAGAGTTAACATTCTGCGATGACTTCGGTAGTTTTTTAAATGATAGCACAAAAGCACATTTTAAGATCTCATGTTCTGGTTCATGAATGTGAAAGAATTTACTGTCCCGCTTGTAAGAGTTAGTGCCCTGTCTGCCGCAGCTATGTGTGCATCAGAGAATAGAAAGGGGTAGAAGGAAGGTAGAGATGATTAAAGGTTGAAGAGATGACTCTTCTTGACAACGTAGCATTAAAAGAATTAATATATCCTTATTTCAGTTGTAGTGTTTTAATGCAATATAGTCTTCCATCTATAAAAGCGACGTTCTTTAAGTTAGTTTCGAATGACCCATTCTGAAAATAAATATTTTAGTATAGTCAGCTATAATCTCAGTATATTCTATAATTTAGTTTTAAAAAGTCAGTTTAGTTTTCAGAAAAGCTGTCTCATAAAATCTAACCCTCCTAAATAAATGTACCGAAGTTAGCAAAATCATAACAAAAAACATTTAATTCAATTATTTGACTTGTAACTCAAATTAAATTATACTTAACTGTATCCTGTATCATACAAAAAAAATATGTATCATATTTATTACTATGCATGTTAAAAGGAAACTACTACAGGACTGAAGCACTGTCTTTTTTATTCATTACTGAAAACAGAAATCCAGTTAAGACTTTTAGACAAGCTCTCATTTCTCAATTAACATGTTTTATTTCAAATTTATTCAGAGCTGAAACAAGAGTTACATTTGCAACTGAGGAAAGCAAAGATGAAACTTTGTTCTTTCTTTTGTGCTCAGCCATACAATTTATTTTTCTCCTGGCAACAGATTTTAAATCTCTTTGCCCGTTTTTTTTTTTTTTTTTTTTTTTTTTTTCGTGGGAACTGTTTTAGTAAGTGCCGACATTAGAGCTGACAACGCTTTGTGTGTTTTTTTTTTCCTTTTGCCTGGTTTCTGTGTCTGTGTGTGCAGGCATGCATTCATTAACGTAATTCCTCAACATTCAACAAGAGTGCATCATAAACCAGACGAAAAAAGCCTCATAAATATTTAGATCCTCCATCTACCTTCCAAAACTAAAGTGAAAAAGAGTATTTAGTGAGGACTTGGTTTGAGTTAATCTGCATATGAACTGAAAGGGGGTACAAAAGGATGAAAAGGTGGTGGAAACGAGCATACAAACCCCATAGTCTCCAGGGGGCCATTCATCTTGTTCTTGTCAATACAATCTCAGCCTCGCTGCTTGGCTGTTTTCTGCGCATGACCCAACAGGCTAGCTTTGCAAAGACAATGTTGCAAACCATGTGCGTGCTTTCTTCCGAGTTTTGCTCTACCGTGTCATTTTTCGAGAGGAGAAGCAAAATACTTCACGTTTTGGAAAATGTAGAAATTTCTCCGAACGCTTCTCTACTCCTTTGTGGTCCACACACTTACATACAAACTTAAAACATTCACATTAAAGGACAAGTAAGTTCTATGAAGAGCAATTTAGGTAACTTGACTATTAATGAGAGGTAATGAGATCACAATGTAGCTTAAAACATATTATCATATCATAAACGACAATGTAGCTTAAAACATATTATATTATACAGCTACAAAACCATACAATTTGGACCAATTTATGTATTTATTTATAACAAACAACACTGTCAAAAAGTCCAAAGTTATAAAAATAGACTAATCAAGTTTGGTATTTAATATATTTTCATAATTGAACAGTCACAGAATTAGTTAGGTTGCAAAGGACCTCTTGAGATCATCTAGTCCAATCCCACAGATGGAATTCCACATTTTTTTTATTTTTAAAAATGAAGGAAGGTGTAATACATTCAATAATTATTTTTTATTTAATTACCTGAGACAAAATTAATTTTGGAGGACTACATTACATTACCTACATAGAGTGACTTGCAATCTATGACTGCTGTGCTTAGGGATCCTTTTCACCCAAAAGGGCTCAAGGGTCACTAAAGTCTGTAACTAGACCCAAATAATGATTTCACACATAAGCAGGCGAAAGAGCAGCTTTTTGTTTGTTGTGAGGACAAAGTTGGAATGAAATAATGTACCTCCACATTAATTATATGAATTGAATTACAGAATTACATCAATACTATATGGAAAATGGTAATTTTAGTCACAGTGTGTTTATAATATTCATTTATCTTACTAAATTGATAGTCTTCTGTTTTGTACTAGTGATAACAGAAAAGTCCAAGTACATTTTTTTCAAATGAATCTCTATTTCAGTCTCCTCCTTAAATGAATTCAGTTGGGATTTTAGGGCTGTTTGGTTGTTTTTTGATTGGTGGTTTTGTTTGGGTTTTTTTTTTTTTTTTTTGTTTTTTTTTTTTTTTTTTTTTTTGTTAACAGACCTCTCCAAAACCCTATTACTTGAGCAAAATAGTGATCAATGTAACATCGGGTACAAGCCTGAGCAAGCAAGCTGCTATGACTCCCCCACTAATCACCTGTTGTCAATCTAACACAAAGGACTCCACCTACACTGATAAACTTCTAATAGAGTACCAAGATATATCTGTAGCCAGAGGGATAATTGATCTCACCACTAACCTATAAGACAGGTGCATGCAAACTTCAAAATGGGACAAAAGATCAATTATGCCTCTAGTAATGAAAATCAGATGGATAGCTATAAACAGACTACCTGAAAGGAAAAGGAAGATAGTGATGTATACTTTAATTGACTTGCTAAGGGGAAGACCGTCTTCTGGCATGAAATCTGGCCATCTGATTGGCTAGGTCATGACTTTTTTTTTAAAGCAAGTAGAAAAATTCTAGAAATGTGAAGGGGAAGCACTGCTTGACTTAAAGCATTTCTGCCTCTAACACAGAAGTGGTTTGCCAGCTTCCCAAATAACAGGGACTTACCAGACCTTTCTATGGTGGGAAGAAGGAAGGCTGCCTAATTTGGATTACTTAATACCTGTTTTCATGCTGACCTTCTTTAATCAAAACAGAATTACAAAAATTCAAGATAACTTTTTTTCCTGCCTTGCCTCACATAGTGTTTTCTTTATAGTTCCTGTCACAACCTGTTGTGTTTTTTTTAACATATTGTCAGACCAGGCTAAATATTCATTTATTAGTACATAACGAAACAGTACTGTTATGCAAACTGGATAACAGGGTATACTCTCTAGAAAACTTATTTTTTCTTTTCTCTGCTCCTTAGCCTGATAGGGTAACAGTTCTTCAGTCATATCAGGATTTGGGGGGTTTGTGTGCTGAAACCAGAGACAACTAGCATACCTGTTTTGTAAAAACAAACCCCCATAATCATTGTATACATAATACAACCTTTCTTTCTTAGTTTGACAAGTTATGTAAATACATGAAAGGTAAAGAAAACTGCCCATGAAACTTTCAAATATATATATTTAAACAAATACAATAGCATAAGAGAGTTAACATTTCAGTTATCATCTTTATTTATTAGTAACACAATAAATTCCATAATATAAAACTGCCCATTAGAGAAAGTGGCTTTTAAAACTTCTACAAGGTATAAGAAAAGTTGTAACATGTACACGGGAACTTCTCATGTTCTAAATGAACAGGAATATCTAGACTCATGTGAACTGGATTTGTATGAAAATCATTTGAATCGTTAGGAAAGGCATTGTTTCTCTTCCTCATATTTCAGTCAAAATCGGACACCAAACACAAAACATCTCAAACTTAAGAATAATAATAAAAATTCATGAGAATCTGAGATGGCTAGCAGTATAAAGTGTAATTTCCAGCCACTTCAAATTTAGCTGCAGTGATTTTTTTTTAATGAGAGCACTGTATCTAAACCTGGGTTATTACTCCATTTTACATATGTTTTGCCTCTACACCATAGTGAATTTTTCAGCCTACTCCCTTGCCCCTCTACTGTGTGGTCTATCCAACAGAATGACTTGACGAATGTAAAATACTAACACACTTCTGAAAGCCAAAGCTAGAGAATGACTGCATTACTGTCCTGAACAGCAGAGTAATTTAGTTCTTGTCAAAATCCTGAACCCAAGCTGTTGTTCAAACTACTCTGAGAGCAAAAGTGGTTAATAGAAAAATGTTTCTGCATGCTTACAGTGAGTTTTAGATGACTGTTCAACCATTCACAGTGGCCACTCCAGACGTTCAAAAGGTGTAAGACATACAGAGCTGGAGGATGTGATAGAGGAGGTATGAGAGAAAAGTGCCCTTCTGGAGATTCAAGTGGAATACCATAAGGCAAGTTAATCCTACCGTTTATTGTGCTTATAAACTTGTAGCAATTAATTACTGTAATCAAGCAACAAACTGATTTTAAATAATAATCAGATATAATATTAGCTAAATAAGATCATATGTTCTTGTATGAAGTGACTGTAGTTCAAAATGAGTCAGATCTATATTACCTAACAACCCAGAAATGCTCACCTTTTGGCTTTGAGCCAAGAATCACGTTTTGCTGATTATTATGACTCGCCTTTTCAGAAGTGACAGTCGAATAGAGACTTACGATGAATCAGCCTACAAATGCCAATAAAGATGACACAATGTTTGGGATGCTTCCTGTTTCTGTGAGGAAATCCTGAATTCATCCAAGTGCTTAAGCAATAATTCTCTGAACTTTTATAATGGCTTTCATTGAAGCAACTTGAAGTACTTTACTACAAAGTGTTTCATAGCTTCTGAAGAGTAGAAAACTCTGAAATGGGCTCTGGAGCATACCCTAACTACAGTGCATGTGGCTAATATATTCCAGGATAGACCTCCCACACTCAACAGAAAGACTGTGGGTAGGAGGAGCAAATGACAGACAGTAAGTCATCCACAAACAAACCAAAGTTTAGGCTTCCTAAAGTGAAAAAGGACCATAAAAAAATATTAAGAGATTGAACACTGCAGCTTCCTTTTAGAGAAAAGGCACAAATACCCATGAACAGATAAAGCAGAGAACAAGCTTGAGCATACTATAGCACAGAAGCACAATGGTCTTTGTGTGGGTAATCAACAACCACTGTAGCACTGCTCTCTGTCCTTTACTTCGGATGAACACTGTTGAGCAATTCCATCCCATCTCCAGAAGCTTTTAAGATTCATATTGCTTGGTTCCTTTCTTTTCTCACAGCTTTGTAACTACAGATACTTCTCTTCACCATTAAATACATAAAAAGAGATTTGTATTTACAAAAGACTTGGACTATATCAAATATTTTGAGTGGGGAAAAAAAGATTTATAGTAAAAAATAAGATTCTGGATTTCTCAGACTGATTTATCACATTTTATTAGAAGGCCCAGCCAATACAGATGTTTCCTGCTCATCTTCAGAAGGTTTTGAAAAACGCAGAGTTCTCCTATAATTTGTTTAGGTGTTTTATGTCCAGTTAAATATAAACTCCTTGTGCAAGAACTGCTGCTCTTTCAATACTGAACATTAAACATAAGTAACACACCACTAGCAATCCCTCAGTGTAAGTCAATATACATACACATTCATATTTCAGATATGTTAAAAGGAAAAGTTAATTTAATGCATCAGTTAAATTTTTAGCTCTACATGGTTTTAGTAGTAATTAAAAAGAATGGTTTATTTAAATCTATTTACAAAGCTAAAGCTGAAAACATTTTATTTATATTCAATAGTAACCAATATACTATGGTCTTTTACCAAAAGACAGTGTACTTGAGAAACAGGACTTACCAGGTGTTTCTTTAGCTGTAAGCTCTTCGCCACTGCAGTTGTCAAAATGAATCTGCAGATGTCTCTCACATGAACTGTCTTTTTTTTTTTTTTTTTTAAATTTTTTTGAAATCCTATAGTGAAGGTGAAAACACTTTTCACTATGGTAAAAAGTAAAAATACTTCTGATTACATAACTTACACAGTACTATTAGTGACAGGTAGCAAATAAAAAAGCTACTGAGGGCACTACTATAGTAGAGATGACTGCATCAGTTAAAATGCAGAATGCCATCCTGGATAGTTCTGAGGTTACATATCTACTGCAAATCAGATAATAGGTAAAAAAACAGGTAAGCCTGAAATAATATCGAAGATCTCTTAATCTTAATTTCTAGATATCCTAATACTGTAGTCTTTTAAACTAGAATGTGTGTTAGTTAGACTCCAATGACAGATCTTATATTTGGTCAATTCAGTGCCTCCAGAGTCAGGCAGCACTTACAGTAAGATGCACTTGCTGCTACTCTCACTTCTGCAATGCGTGGCACAGGCCGGCTCTCATAGCGCTTCCGTGCACAAGTCCTCCAAAAGAGACAGGCCAGGAGCCATTTGAAATTCTCCCGTATGTAAGCTTGGAGCTGTGTAACTAAGGCAGTAATGTTGTGACTGTACAGATGAAAAGTGCAGTATCTAGCACACTAACTGCAGCTATAGGACCGTGCATGGGATTATAAATACTGGAAACGTGCATAGTGTATTTCAGGAGATCACCGGGTATCTTTTAGTGAGCTAGGGAGAGTATCAACTACTCATGATCTAACATGAAAACGCACAAAACCAATGCAAGTGTTTATAAATTACAAAATGTAAGGAAGTTTATGAGCTTAGAGGTAAAACATACCTTCAAAAGGCAGGATTCAAATATGTTCTGTGAATAATTATGTTCTTCCTCTCCCCCCCCCCCAGCTTTTAAATTTAAGTGCTGTTATGAACAAGGTGATAAAGTGGGTAAATTTTATGTTTACAATGTAATACCTTGATTTAGTTTTCCAATTAATGGTAATTTTTTCTTTTCTATGCTTTCTCAGATTGCTTTGCTTTCCCTCCTTCTCACTATTTTCTGCCTTTCTCAGCAATGTTGTAATAAAACTGGCGTACATGAGACATCATTTTCATCCCCTGCTGAAGAGTGTGAAATTAAACCAATCTAAACTTTGTTTTTAACGCACAGAGATTTCTTGGGAGCTTATCAGAACTACCACCCTCTCTAGACAGACACACCTTTTCTTGTTCCTGGAATGCCATCTTTTCTAGAGAAAAGTCTACATAGTAGTACATAAAGAAATAGCACGTACACACATTACTCACCCTCTGAAATCATCTACTCAAAAATACAGTCTACTAGGCAATTAATCTATTGCAATCTTGAACACTGATGTAAAACATTTTATTATATATTGATTTACATCTTTTCCATGCATAACAATGACTATTTGGTAGATAAGGTGAAGCCTAACACAGAGATACCCATGCCTTCCCTAACCACTGAGTGTTAAACAAAATGCTTAATATTTTATGAAGCAGAACTTAGGCCCCTCCATCCTTTTTATGTAACAGTATCCTATCACAGTAACTTAAGGTATATGGAATACATACCTTACCAAGAAAACTGCCAGGTACAAGATTTAGGTCAAAGATGGAAAATACTTTTTTATACCGCACTTTCTGTTCTCCCAACTTCATGATGGCATAATTAACATTCAAGCACAGCAACAGTCAGAATGCAGCTCTTCCTACTCTTGTGTAAGTGGATGAATCACAAAGGTATTTCTTCTTCTGGCTCCTTTATGCCAACCTGAGGAAGGGCCAGTTCCAACAGGAGCGATGCTGTGGGTTACTACACCCTTCTTCACACTTGTACAGGTTAAAGTACCTTAAGTGTCGAAGATATGAATCTGAATCCTTTCAGACTAAGGTATGCTTAAAACCTCTCTTTTCCACTTGGTCAGCAATCGTTTAACATCAGTAGTGGGTGAGTTGAGGTATTATCTCTTCCAAGATTAGATAGAGCACTCAGAAATGTCCCTTTTTAGACTATGAACACTGTGCCATCTGCTTATTACTTTGAGTGATGCACTACTACGGCTCGTTTGAAAAGTTACCTGTCGGTTTGGCTTAATGTGAGAGGAAATATGTTTTTGTTGTCAGACACATCACACAATCTCAATATAATCAGTTCATGAGAGAAGTTTTAGTCTGGTTCTAGACCTTCTTCTGTCCATGCGTTCATCACCTTGCAGAGATGAATGGATTTCAGATGTCCATCTGGTAGCAACCACGTCTGACTGGTACATTAGTTACAGCAGCTACAACTTTGTATACCATGAATGATTTAATATTGAATCCCAAACAGTATTTTTTTTCTTGAGTGACTTTAATGGGTAGGTGAAGAATTACTTCTTTTCCTAAAGAAGAGTAGTATAACACATTGGTACCTTCCTGTTATAGACTGTGTCGCAGAAGGTTGATGACATTCAACTGTGTATGCATGTGATTTGGTCAGAGACACTGGAAGTAACAGCCAACACTTCAACTAAAAGAGTATGTTTTCCAGTAGTCATCAGCCTTCAGCTCTCCTGCTTCCCAAGGTGCTATCAGCTATGAACATTATAGCAGCAATTGAATTTACTTTTTATGATCATTGCAGCCCTTTACTGTAATATACAGAGGCTGCTGCTGGCATTATCATAATTTTTCTTACTTCAAGATTAGATTAATACAATAAAACTTCACCTTAAAAGAGAAGCTGCTAGAGACTACTACAGGTTACATGATACAAGAAGGGCTACCTAGATGAAAACACAAGAGTTAAAGACAGGGACTTGCTGTTCGTATCCAGACAGAAGTTAAGGTGTTGGGTAGTTACCTAAAGAACTTTATATGACTACAGGACCTGGTTACCTTGAAACAAACCAACCAACCTCCCTCTCCTCTGCTTCCCTCCCCTCCAATGAATACACCACCACCTCTCCCCCTTACCCACAGGACGTGTTTTTACCCACCTCTGTGTCTATTCCCCACCCTACCCCCCCCCATTTCCTCCTCCACCAAGAAGCTGCTAAGTTCAATACAGCTGCAAGAGTATTTTTAGTGCCTCTGTAGATCAGGCTGTAGACACACCCATCTAGATGAGAGCTATACCTTCTCACAGCTCTTTAACCAGAACTAATTCAATTTCCATCACCCATGCGTTCTTAAAAACACCCTTCCCTAGGACGTGGAAGTGTAGGAAGGTAAAGGCAGAGAGAAGAACATAAGGTATGCTGAGAGGGGCTTATAGGATGCATTTTGGATTTACTGTATGCTTGATAAAGAAAGATATCATGCCCATTTGCTTATTTAAAACTAATGGTGAGTTATCTACGTTTTGTTATAACATTCAGCTTTTCCAAGGGTATTTTCCCAATGTATGTCATTTAAACTCAGAGTCTTGAAGCATTTATGGAAGAATGAAGGATGAAAATTTTTCTTAAGTCATTTATGCCTAATTATACGGGCAGCTTCAGCACATAGCTTTGCCTCAATTTCTGTATTGTTCAGACTGAGAAAATAATTCAAATTAACACAGAGCAAACTAGAGCCTGAATTTTGCATTGCAGTGCATGAGTGATTCCTCAGTAACTGACGGTGTGCACCTTATTCTCCAGTAAATAAGTGCAAAATAGCTTTGGATAAGCTACATTGTTCCTATTAGCAGGCGAGACAACTGACAACTACTGCACAACAACTTGTGTCAGTATTTCTCACCTTACACTGCTTGTATTCAAGTGCTGGAAGGACTTTTTGTGCAGGAAGCAATAATGAAGTGGTATGGAAAGAGCTGCACCAAATCTGCTGAAAAAAAAAAAAGTCTCCATATGCTATTTTTACTGTGAGAATCAGCAGTCCAGAACAATTATTCTAACATTATCTAAGTTCATCTAATTTTAAGATGAAAGTCTGCCGTCTGACGGATACCCTTAATCAAATTGAAGGATTCAATAACAAGTTTTCTCAGGGTTAAAAAGAACCTTCACTCACTGGTTAAAAATTAGCAAATAAAGAGCTACAAAAATGCACTATCTTTCAGACTGCTCTATGGCAAATAAAAGGATGGCAATTTTGTTAAGCATATAAGGTTGTGTTTTAGCTTGTCACAATTATAAAACAAGGTTGGAAGAGAGCAAACACAATCTTGTTACTAAACAGAAACTGTATTGTTTCATCATCCATAGCCATACTGCAGTGCTTTGGGCATGCTACTGACGGACTAAGAATCTATATTAAAAAAAAAATGGTTTATAACATTGCTATTATTTATTTGATAACAAAGACAATATTTTCTTGCTGAACATACTTTTTTAAAATGATGGAAGCAATACACGTGACTTATCTTACATAAGTCATTAATTTTTACTTAAACAAACCCCTGAAATTAAAGGTTTAAAGGGGAAAAGTACAATAAACACAAGAAGGAATGCAACAATCCAAAGCATTTTTGCTATTATGAGAACTACACTTTCTCTACATTTTTGTCAGTGCACATCTTTCAGGAAAAGTAGAACAACACTGGTTCACATTACCCAGTAAAACTGTACACTTGTGAAGATGACAACGTGTCTGTGCTTCATTTTAGTTTTGGAAGCATTGGTCCCTGCGATTAGCCCACTAAAAGTTTCTTCAAATACCGTCCAGTACGTATGAAAGTACATTTGAATTTTTACAGAACTTCAAGCAATAGCTAGACTTTATACCTAGTGCTATTAAAAATGGCCGTTTTCAGTGAACTTAATGAAGCATGAAGCGATTTTTATCTAGCTTTACAACATAAGCTCTACTAAGCTACTAAAAATTGCATCAAAGCTTTCTGGCGACCTCCTAAGTAATAAAAATCAAGTAAGAACACCAAGTAGCTGCGTGGGGAAGGAAGAATACGTACAAGCAACCGCGTCGCGCTGCTTTGCCTCTGCAGCTACAGGGGATGGAGCACGTTAATTTTGGTTCTGGCTGCCGGGTACTGCTGCTCCCGTCACGGCTCCCATCCAAACCCGTCAAGCAAGCCGAGGCTGATGCCAAAACACGGCACTGCCCTGAAAACAAAAAGGGCGTCTAACTGCCCGCCGGCGAGGCTGGGGCCGGAAGGCAGCGCCGCGGCCGGGACCCTGAGGCCGGCCCCGGCTGCCGCGGGGTGCCGAGGCGGGGGGGGGGGGGGGGGGGGCCGCCGGGCCGGGGCACGGCGCTGCGCAGCACCAGCCGCAGGCGGCCGCCGCCGTCCCTGCGCCGGGGCCGGGCGTGCGGCCGCCCGCGTTTCGCCTCCACGCCCGGCGGCGGCCAGCCCAGGGCCCGCTGCGCCCCGCACCCCTCCGAGGCCGAAGGCGGCCGTTAAACGGCTCCCGCGCCGCGCGGGCTCGCGCCGGCCGGGGCGAGGGCGGAGGGGGTGCGCGGCTCCCTCCCTCCCCCCCCCGCCTCCCTCCAGCCGCGGGGGCGGACCGCGGCTCGCTGCCAGAGGCGCGTCCCCCGGCCCCGGTACCTCATGCGCGCGCTCCGCCGACCGCCCGGTTGCCCCGCTCGGGAAACCGCTCCCCGCGCCGCTCCGCCACCCGCCCCGCCCACCGCCCCGCGGGCGCATGCGCGGCGCGACCAACCGCCGCCCACCCCTCGGCTGGTGTCTGCGTGCCTCCCCTCCTCCGCTTCAGCCGCGCAAGACCCCGCTCGCGCGAAGCCGCGGCGGCGCTGTAAACGGCGGGCGCGCGCACGCGCGCCTCGGCGGGGCTCTCCCCGCCCCACAGGGGGGCACGTGACCCCCCTCCCCCCCCCCCCCAATAGGTGAAGTAACACGACTTTGTTTAGAAGAGTTCTGTGCGCGCGCGTGCTTCCGCGGGGCGGGGGAGGCACGCGGGAGCCGCACGCGACGCTTGCGCGCCTGCGCCGCCTGTCCACGCGCGGACGCTCGGGGAGGGGGGAAGGGGGGAGAAGGGGGGGGGAAGAGGGAAGAAACTCCCCCCCGGTCCCAGCGGCGCCCCCCGCCCCCTTCCCCGCCGCGGGCCCCCGGAGCGGAACGGGAGGGACAGCTGGCTCCGCCAAGCGGCGCTGCCGCCGCCGCCGCCGCCGCCGGGCAACGGCCGCCCCGCCCCTGGGCCCGCCCCCCGGCATGTCCCCACCCCCGCGGGCCCTGCCCCCTCCCCTCCTGCCGCCGCTGCCGCTGCTGCTGCCAGCGCAGCCTGAACTGAAGCGAACTCCGGAGCGAACTGAGGAGAAGTGAGGAGGCGGCGGCGGGGCTGAGACTCACCAGCCACAGGCAGCGGCGGCGGCGGGAGGGCGGACGGGCGGGCGGGCGGGAGGCGGAGAGGAGGACACGCCAGGCGCAGCGCGGCGGCAACAACAGCGGCGGCGGCGGCGGCAACAGCGGAGAGACACCGGCGGCGGCTCCTCGGAAGCGGCAGCCGCGCCAGCAGCGCCCGCCCGCCCCGCTCGTCCCCTCCCTCCCCCGCCGCGGAGACAGGGGGCAGCGCCGAGAGGAGAAGCCGGGCTCAGCGTGTGTGTGCGCGGGAGGAGGAGGAGGAGGAGGAGGAGGGGGGACACACCGAGGACTGCGCCGGCCGAGGGCGCACGGAGTAGGGAAGCGGCGGCACCGAGAGGCGGCGGCGGCGGCGGCGGGTCCTTGTGCCCGGGGAGGAGGGCGCAGCCCGCACGGGGGTTGCTACCGAGTTTCCTCTTTTTTTTCGGTCCTTCGGACTCGGCGGCGGGGCTGCGTTTGTCTCCGGATTTGAATCCTCCTCCTTCTCCTCCTTCCTCGGGGAAGCTCCCCTCCCCGCCCCCTCCCCTCCCCCACCGCCTCCCTGCCCGCCCGGATCCAGCCGGGCGCCCCGTGCCGCGGTCGCGTTGCTCGGCGGAGCTGCTGCGGCCGCTCGCCGTCTCTGCGCGGGCTTGGAATATGGTTGGGGAAATGGAAACCAAGGAGAAGCCGAAGCCGAGCCCCGATTACCTGATGCAGCTGATGAACGACAAGAAGCTGATGAGCAGCCTCCCCAACTTCTGCGGGATCTTCAACCACCTCGAGAGGCTGCTGGACGAAGGTAAAAGCTGCTCGCCTTGGCCGCCCCCTCCCCCGCTCCGCCGCCCTGCCCTGCCTCCCCCACCCCCCCCCCCCGCCTCCCCGGGCCTCCGCGCCGCTCCCGGGATCCCGCCCGGCCCCCCAGCCCCGGCCGGGTGGCGGGTGGAGCCCGGGGCCTGTTTCTCTCTCCCCGCCGTTCTCCGCACGCCCTCGGCCCCCGGCTGGAGAGCCTAAAACAAAGGGGAAGTGCGAGCTCTCCCCGCCCTGGCTGCTGCCGTGTGGTGCCGGGGGACTCGGGGAGCGAGTGGGAGGGGGGAAGAGGCAGCCCTGGCCACGCAGGTCCCCGCTCTCCCGTGTTTGGCTCCCCCCCCCCCCCCCCCCCCCCCCCCCCCGCCTCACCACCCCCCTTATTTTTTTTTTTTTTTTTATTCTTTTTCCCTTCCTCGCACCGTCTGCTAAAACCGGGGGAAGGGTGACTACCGCACGGAGGGGAGGGAGCGAGGAGAGGAGCTCAGGAATGTGCTCTGGGGGAAGGCAGGGAGGAGGGGAAAGGCAGGCGGCGCGGCGCTCCCCTCCCGCGGCGGCGGGGCCGAGGGGTCCTGCGCGGCGCCTTCGGGGAGCGCTCCCCGGCCCGGCCGGAGGGCCCCGAGCGGGGGGGGCAGGGTTGGGAGGGTGTTCGGTTTCGAGATTTGGCTGTTCTGGAAGCTGCTTGAACTTGAATGACTAAGACGGAGGGGGCTGAGCTCTTTCTTCAGCTCCAGCTCTACCCCACCCCAAACTGGCCACAAACTAATTATGATTTTCCTATATTGCAAGCGAAGAGAACAAATCCTTCTTTCAGCTATCCTTACCTTTTAAAGAAACTAACTTGAAAGACTCCTACGTGTGACTTTAGTGAAGGGAAAAAAAAAGAAAAGATAATTACGAAATTGCCTCTTCTACTCCTGCAAGAGGTCCACTGCCGCCCCCAGCCCCGCATCCCGCTCCTGCCTCGGAGGGGCGAGGGGCCGCTCCTGTGGGTTGGCCCCCACCCCACGTCCCCTCTTTTTTTTTTTTTTTTTTTTTTTTCCTCAATAGTTCCCTTTAAGGTTGCGTTTTTACAAATAAGTAGTCGCGTTTTAGAAAGAAAGAAAGAAAGAAAAAAAAAATATATACTGGAAACTTCATGCGTCCCATACGTTTTCCCACAACAGTAACAGACCCACTTTTTCTTAGTATTTTAAAGTCGCTTTATGCTTGGGTTTACAGTTTTTTTTTTTTTCCTGTTAAAAGTATTTCCTTTCTTACTACCTCTTAAACCTAGGCTTTCTGGAGAGTGAGAGGGACCTGTTCCTTTAATAGTATTTGGTAGCTTTGTAGAATGTAACAAAACCATAAATTGTTTATACACTTTCAACTTGTTGGAATGCTTAGCATGAAATACCGAATTTCGAGATTTCGAGTTAGGATTCTTGTTTGCAGACATATTCTTCCTCAGTAAAAGAAGTTTGCGAAGTTGTTGACCTCGGAAGATGAAAGAGCTGGTTATATTTGGTAAAACAACTCCCCGCCCTCTCCTAAGACTGTAAAAATGAGATAGTGACTGTAGTACAACAAAAAATAGCATATCGAGAAAATGCTACTTTCTGAAATGATAGAGGAGTAAAAAAAAAAAAAAAAAAAGACAAAAAAAACCACTCAAAACAGTGAGGAATGCTGAAAGATGGACTGTGGGAAGCGATATAATGGGAGATTCTATTTTGATTTTCAAGATTCTTGGTGAAGTTTGAATTTATATTGGAGCAGATACGGATGTGAAAAGTAAAACTATTTAAAACTTATCCTCATGGTCACTACAGCAAACCACCTCTTCAGAATAGCTAGATTTACAATAAACATCAGGAAGAAACTTGAATGAGAAGACTCCTTTTTAGCACAAATGACCCTTCCAGTGGTGTGATGTCGGATTTTTAAATTAATTCCTGAATCTCTTCAGCTTAATGTATTCAGCCAGAGGAGGCCCAAAACATTACTTTTTTTGGTCAGAGAACAAAAGAAAGAAAAAACATTTCCCCATACGAAAAGGACGCTGAAAAAGGAATGTTTGAAATCCTTACGTCTTTGGACATATTTTTAAATATTGCAAAGCTTTGGAAATCTGTTTTGTGAAGTATTGGAGTTCCAAAATGAGGGCTGTGGAGTCTGTTGCTGAAAAAGTTTGAGGATTGTGTTGGAGCTATTCTTCACACTCTTTTTTAAAAGAAAAATAAATAAAATACAATCTGTTTCTAAATAGTCTCAGGAAGAAGTCTGCGATCCCTTTAAGCTTTTCTGCTTTTCCTGTTTACGTTGGCAATTGGGTGGAAGTATTGTGGAGGCAGAAAACTTTTTGGAATGTTGAAAAAAATGTTTCATGCAAATCTAGTAAATTGCTTCAAGACTTTAAAATTTGAACACTAAGGGGCGCCAGTTATTTTTTTTCCGAGGCATGAGACTGGCCTCTGAACACCATTACTGACTTGAGTAGTGAAATTAGCAAATCTATTAGAAGATACCAGAGAATGAGAAAACACTTGAGGATTCGTGCAGGTATCTATATTTGCATGGAGTTGCATATATCGTATGCTTACACGCAGTATTATGGAGGTGGCATAGTCAATGATGATGAACAGTTGAGAAGTTGGAACAAGTGTTGTTCTGTAAAACGCTTATCCTGGTTACCAAAGGGGCACCGTGTTAAATTTTTTGAACTATATACTACACTGACATCCTCCAGGAGGGTTTAGCAATAGCAAACTGGAGGTTTGCTAGAAAGGTCTGCAAGATTTAGAACAATGACTTAAAAGTGTAATATTTAATAGTTTTGTCAGTTGTTCTATGGCACCTTTGAGAATACCAGATATTAGGGGCAGGAGTGTATATATATAGATTTATATATATAAACTAAAAATAAAGTTAGTGTTCGCATTCCCTCTTTGCCCCCTTCCCCAGCAATTTGGTTTATTGTTTTGCACTTTAGGTAGGTGGGGTCGTTTTTTTTTAGTTACTGTACAACCATTTTCCTGGAGGTTTTGTTTATGCTCGAGAAGAATAATATTATGATCAGCTTTTGTCTTCTGTGCTGATCGAATTGAAAAAATAAAATCACAATCCTAAAAACTCAAACAAATAAAACATGGCATTGCTTTCTCTACTGGAATGCTAGGGGTTTTTTTATTTATTCATTTTTACATGCCAGTATTTAAAAACAAAAGCTCAAATGGCTTGTGTTGCAATTACTTTTTGTAATTGTATTCAACAAGAGATAGAAATGGACCTGTCTGTTTAGATGAACAGTACATCTAATCTGGTTAGGTTTCAGAATGTACATCTGCTTTTTTGTGGCCTGTTTTTGTACTTGTGTGTATTATCCAAAACACATTTTCCTTTCTGAACTCCATGCTAGTGTTTGATCTTTGAAAATTTTAGTGCTTAATTTAGTAGATGGTCTTAGATGGTCTCTGCCTTACGGCATTTGAAGACCAGGTTAAATATGAGAGGTATATGGAGGAAAAATTTTTTAAGAACTATTTTATAATAAAATATGAAAGTCACAGTTTTGTTTGTATTACAGATATTTTTGCATATGTGTGCTTTCAACTTCTTATGTGTAAATAAGGCTTTTGTGGATTAACAAGGATGTTTAAAGTGCACATCATAATAACTAGGAAGCTGGATTGTTTTTATCAGACTAG